CTGAAAGCACTCGGCGGGCGTTCTGTATATAAGCCCGGAGAGATAGTGTGTCATGTTCTTAGTCGTGTTTGTGTGGGTAATGTATGCAGTTTAACCCTGTACATATGGATGTAAAAGCAGGGAGTTTATATTTTTGCGGTCGACAATCTCCCTACTCATGCATATGTAGATTGGAATCTTCCCTGCTCCCTGGTCCAATTCAGGATTACTCCCAATGTCACTATCAGAATGGGAATCTGAGAAAACCCCTCCCCATGCTCTCAGTAGCCAATCGGGAGAGGGAGAAGCGGGTGTCAGTTCCGCCATCGTGGAGAACAGCTAATGGGAAGCGCCTTTACTCAGTTTTGTTGGTGACGCGGGGTGGGGGGTTGGGGGGGGGGGGGGGGGGGGAGTGCCTGCCACCCCGTGTCTCGCTAGCAGTGAAAACATTTATGGAACATATTAAAATAGGTGCCAGAACGGGAGAGAAAAGGCTCAATAGGAAGGCCCACGGGCCCGGTTTCCCTGCTACGGAGCACTTATTACAGAGTAATAGCTGCAAGAGGACAAAACCAAACGCCTTTAGTCCTCCACTCGCCATTTAAAACCCCAAACACGCTTTCTCTTCTATCAGACATAGGGAACACAGATGAGGGAGAGAGAGAGAGGGGGGTGGGAGAAGAGGGGAAAATAAAGAGGGGAATATAGAAAAAGGGAAAGTAAACCAGGACAGAGAAAGACAACAATGAGGGAACACATACAAAGATGAGCTCCTCCATCTCATGACGTCTATATTTACAGAGAACAGAGGAGAGAGGAGAGGGGGAGGAAGGAAGGAAGGAAGGAAGGAAGGAAGGAAGGAAGGAAGGAAGGAAGGAAGGAAGGAAGGAAGGAAGGAAGGAAGGAAGGAAGGAAGGAAGGAAGGAAGGAAGGAAGGAAGGAAAATCAGGCCACCAAACAGCAGATGGGCATCATTGGCATGGTGGGCCTGGTCCACACATAGGGCACACAACACATACACTGTGAGAAAGGAAGAGGAGGGAGGGAGGGAGGAAGGAAGGAAGGAGGGGTGCAACAAACAAGGTAAGGGGGAGGGGTGGCTTACCCAAAGCAGGACCCTGCTGTACCCATAAGGCCTGGTGACTGCTGCAACTCTGCCACTACTGACACACACACTTCAGTCCGCTATGGGCTACGTTAAATATAATCCCTAGTACCCCCGCCATACCGTCAACCTGACTCCCAGAGCAATGACACTAATTAGATGAATTACCAAACATCCCTGGAGGTCCACGCTGGGTTAAATAGGTACTCAGCATAGTATTGTTTATGAGTATAATCATAGCCAGCGACTAGTGTCGTCGCGCGGCGGCAGTGATGCTAATCAACTAAACATGCTAATTATTAATATTCACCAGAGAGGCTTGTGTATATGCCATTTAGCAGACACTTTCTATCCAAAGCGACTTACAGTCATGCATGCATATGGGCTGTCACCTTAGGCATACTTTTCTCCCCATTTCTCCTCGTTCGCCGAAGCTCTTTGACAATGACAATGTCTCTCTGGCTGAGTGATTCTCTGTTAACCTCCGGGATGACAGTGTGTGTGTGTGTGAGTGTGCACACACACACACACACACATATATGCATGCATGCACACACACACACAAACAATGAGCCAATCTTGCACCGCTCTCAAATGGCATTCAAACCAATGATCTAACGATCTAACTAAGTACTTCACTGTCTGTCTGTGTGTCTGTCTGTCTGTCTGTGATCCGCTGTACCATCTAATGTGCCCCTGTCTCGCAGCATGGGTTAAGGCAGAGACATCTTAAGCCTCTTGGACTTTTTTCATCTGAGCATCTGGGGAATTCTATGAATTGGCCACTCACAATCCACCGCCATTCATCTTTAAAGTGGCTATCCCATGAGAGACTGACCTCGAACACATTCCTGTGGAAGACCATATGAGCTTATAATATAATATAATATAATAATAATAATATGCCATTTAGCAGACGCTTTTATCCAAAGCGACTTACAGTCATGCGTGTATACATTTTTTTTGTGTTTCTTATAAATCAAATAGGGCAGCGTTGTGCTTTTCAGCTTGTAAGATGGTTGTGTCCAATGTTCCCTCTAATTTTTTACGGCACTAAGCAAATTTCAGGTCTGCTGAGCACAAACTTGAACGTTGTGAACATTCTGTGCAACTTCCAGCGCACGTTTACTGTGAACACTGAGACTGTACCCGCTTTAAGTTACAGTTGTAACAGTGGTCAAGTAGGCTACTGTGGCTATTTGGTCATAATGTAGGCCTACCAGAGTGGCCTACCATCAAAAACAATGGAGAAAATGCATCCCATAACATTTTAACATGGAAATAGCTGTTCTATCATTCAGCCTACAGTAGCAGCCAATGTGTGATGTTCAACGTAGGCATACATTCCATGAGACTTAAAAATAAAAATAAAATAATGGTTTGACATTAACCTGTTTATCCACTTGTCCTTCAAACAAGGAGGGGACTGAAAATGTTGTTGGGTTGTTTGATGCAAGAAACCACAAAATAAAATGCATTATTATTCCCATACCATTATTACAGAGAATCAGACAAATGATGCTACCCTCTGCCTATTGGCTACTTAACTTATTCAAGCCTGTCTCAAAATACCACACTGCCCCTTTACGTCTAGAAACGTACACGTTTTGTGCTCTTGTAGGAAGCAATCACTCCCCTATTGCTGACTACAAATGATATATAACTGGGTTAATAACTCACTAACTAGCAAAGGATATTAACAAAATGTGCACTTGGCTACATGCATCTACTCATGACCATAGCTGTAAACACAGTCCAGTTCAAAGTAAATGGCACAGTTCCATATATGGCAATGGTCTATTTGCATATAGGCCTACTGCAGCTCTGATTGGTTATAATAATAATAATTATGCCGCACTGGTCTGTGTAGAGTATGGGCTGAATCTTGCGCATACTCAGATTTGTTCTGCCTACAACAAAATCTCTTGCATAGTTTGTTTTGTTTCGGTATGTTGTATTGAAAGTGGCAAGTATTGCGTTGATTCGATCACAATTGCCACAGTAAAGGGAAACGTTGATAGTGTTAACTAACAGGGAAAACTCTACAAAGTTAAGTGAAGTTCAATCTTGTGCTTCTCTCCGTGGGCTTAGAGGGAACATTGGTTGTGTCCGTATGATTAGGGACGTTTGTGGCCCCCCATAGGGGACAAGTGGCCCTTGAGGGATGCAGAGAGTGAAAGGGAGGATGACAGTCACATTAGGGGGATTGTCACCATACTCACGATTTGGTGTCATAAGTGGAAAGGATTTTCAACCCTCCTGACGGCTTGTGGCGTGACTGATCGATACACTAGCACCGTCTCACGCCCAATAAGAGAGCAGTGTGTGTGGGTGGGGGCTAGTGACAGCCATGGCACCCCATCATCCCAGTCTTTCGCTCTCTATCCATCCCACGGTCGACATTCTTAGAGCTTTCCGGAAGTGATAAAAGGCTGGCCAGTGCCAGGTGGCAGACGATGGAGGCTGAACCACTACGGGCTTATTGGGGTGCATGTAGAAGACTGTACACACACCAGGAATGCCAGAACAGCAGCTGGATGGGAGGACTATAGATGAAAAAGGACAGCATTGATCCTCTCTTCTGCAGTAGTGTGTGTGTGTGCGTTCTTCTGCTTGCAATCACTATAAAGTTCTGATGTACAGTATGTGCTTTTAAGTATGTTTTGGAATGTGCCATTGAAGTTAGCAGGGGACTGTGGTTTCCCAGAGGTGGCATGTGGTTTGGCCCAGTTAGGATGACACAAGCTCCTTTGTGGTGTGTGTGTGTGTGTGTGTGTGTGTGTGTGTGTGTGTGTATGTTGTGGTTAGGATGGAAGTACGGTGTGAGACAATGGCTGCCACGGCCACAGTGATGAGAGATAGTGTGTCCAAGGCTGCATGCCGCATGGCACGGCTGTAACTGTCCTCTGATTGTTCTATTGAGCACTTCGTGATTTAGACACAGACACACACACTGTCACATACAAACAGCTGCACACACACAACCAAACAAAATTAATGCACACAAGCCTGCACACACAAAACCAAACATACACAAACATGCACACACACGCCCTCTCACACACACACACTCCCCCCACACTAAACCAACAGCCTCGGCACCTCACTCCTCTCCTTTTGATGTTTAATTAAATCTGAAAGGGGTGTGGGGGGGGGGGGGGGGGGGGGGGGGTGGCTCAAGCAAATATGCCAAAAAAATGCATTAAAAAACGTACTGTAACTTGCCACCGGCTAAAATCAGCCGAAAAGGATGGCGACCGTTTACTTTGTCAGAAATAATGATTTTTAAAAAAATTTTTTTACATAAGCACCGCAGACATTTCACATGTTAATTTATGCGTGGCAAAAAGACGGGGGAAGAGATGAGAAAAAAACAAAGCTAATGAGTTGCACCATGAAACTGTGGAGCCATGCTTCAACGTCACCTCCCCGAGATGAGCACAACTTAGTATTCAGATAACCAACCGCCGTGAGATGAGATAGAGATATCTGTCTGAGGAGAACTAGCGAGGAGTTTTGCTACAGAACGACTGTGGTCCCGCGTTTAGCTTGTCTATCGAGGACAGACACTCTACATCAGGGGTAGGCTATCTATACCCTGTGAGAGCCAGTGTGGGTGCAGGTTTTTACTCCGGCCAAGCAGGGTACGATGACAGGGTACGATTCTACAAAATCGACTCATCGTAGTCTTCGATCAAGGCTTTGATTTGCTGAATCGGGTGTGTTACTGTTTGAGAGGAGCAAAAGCCTGCATCTGTGCCAGATGGCCTTCACAGGGGTATAGTTTGCCCACGGCTGCTCTAATTCTAAATCTACAAACGCCCCTTAGATTATATTAGGTTGAGAGACCTTGTCAGCAGGCACTTGTGGGCACTGGGCATAGCTAAAGTCAGTGCATAGGGCAGGGGAGGAGGGTCTACATGCGGTCTGCCATGCTAAGGTAGGAGGGTACCATCATAGGCTGAGGGTTGAGGGAAATGGGGGTTGGGGAATGGGAAAGGGGTTGACACGACAAAACAACACAGCACAGCACTGGGAAGAAGAGGAGCTCCCCAACCTCATGGACGGACGCATTCTTCCCCCCGCAGACGCAGTAGGGCTGCAAGGAGGGTGCACAGAGGAGAGACAAGAGCGACAGCTTGGAGTGTTGGGAGAGAGAACGTACTAGAGAGAGAGAGAGAGAAGAAGAGAAAGAGGAGGAAGACAACCACCCTGTTTAGTCCAATTGGAGGAGAGTCTCTGACCCCCCAAGTGGTCAGTGTCCACCAGAGGTCAAAGGTTGAACTCTCCCCTGCTGAAGTGAGGGGTGTGTCCCGAACTGCGGCAGATATCACATGGACAAAGACAGACAGACACACTGAAATAGAAAGAATACCTGTTTAAAAAGGAAGCCACACAGACAAAAGAGAGACAGATGGAGACAGACAGGCAAGACACAACTTTGAGTTGTGTTGTGCAGAGAGAGAGCGAGAAACCATTGCAGTGGAAGACTGGCACTACCGGGAAGGTAGGAGGACATGAATGAAACATGAAGGCTGTTGTGTTTCATGTGTCACGTGATGGCGGAGCATGACGGGCATGAGGTAGATGGGGGGGGGGGGGGGGGGTGAAGGGAAACGTGGTGGTCACGGTAACTTCCTGTCTCTTCGCTTTTTCCCCTCCCCTCCCACCACAGACTACTGACAAGTCAAGAGACAGACAGAACAAACACACATACAGTACTTACACGGGACAGGAGGACGTTTCAGAAACTGTGAGAGGAGGAGCCAACCAGAGGGAGACAGAGAGAGAAAGACCAGAGGCTTCTCCACTTTCCCCCCCTCCTAGTGGACCTGACTCACCACACGGGCCTTGCTGCTTGACGGGGATGTGGGCTTTGGCCAGGCACTCGGCCCGCCGGCGCTCACAGTCGTTGACGTAGGTGCGTCCGTCTTTGCCGCACAGTGGCTTGTAGGTCCCGTCGCACTGGATAGGCTCGCAGGAGCAGCGCACGCCTAGATGCTCCACCTGGCACACACCATTGAATCTGCACTCCTCCTTGCACACCTCTGCAAAATGGACGAGGGACATTGTTGTTTCTTGTTTTTAATGTTTAATTTTCCTCTGTAAAGTGTGTTGAGACATTGTAATAATGGACATGTGACGCAGCAAATCAGTCGACGAATCGAGGCAATCATCTATAAAACGTTCTCTCGAGAACGTTGAGGCATGTTCAGAGCTTCAAATTCATTATGTTCTCTATCACTGGATCAAATTTGTACAGTAATTCAATTTGGAACAATTCCTTTCTCTTTCCTGTAAAGTGGTCATGCTATGCTGCAACTTAATTACGGAGCTGCCTTATCTGGGTGTAGAACATTAGAGGGACGTACTGTATGATGTAATTGTACAAGATGAACCATCGTTCGCAAATAAAGAACCTGATTTCATAGATCTGCATTTCAAATTAAATCGTTGATATTTAAAAAAAGTGAGAAAACAAAAAAGTATTATGCCTATCTATTTCACTTCAGTAAAAGGCAGATAGAGAATGGGTTCCTGTTAACTCGATCCAGAACTAAATCAACTCACAAGCACACACAGTACTAAGGCTTCTACTGAGAAGTTGAAGTCCCATATGTATCCACATATTAGCGGCCTTTATCTCTACTCAAACTTGACTACAAGATATTGCTAACAAAAGAGAGTTGTGTGTTGCAGAGCAGAAAGGGATCATTATTTGAGAGCGCAAAACCACAATTGTCTGTAGTAGAGTGCATCACACCAAGAGCCTCTGTCTTTAACTCTATGGGGAGTCTCAGATGTGTGGAGATGAGGTGAGAGTAGAAAAGCTACAGACACAGTGGTGGTGGCCTACTGAAGCCCCTATCACACAACAGGAACATTGGATTTCTTCAGATCGGTATCATCTACTGTAAACCTGACAGTGCAGTGAACCTGACAGTGCAGATAGCCCAGATAAGCCTTTGCGAGCTCTTATCAAGCAAACCATCTGGTGTCATGCATGTAACACAACACAGCCCGTAAAGGACATGGTAAGTTATCTATCGGTCAAGGCAGTGCAGTGCGTGTGTGCGTGCATGAACGTGCCGGCTCACCTTGTTTCTTGCAGCGGCCCGGGTGGATCTTCCTGAGTTCAATGCCCTTTTGCATGCCCGTCCTCGTCATATGGCACTCGCTCCCGTACGTCTGGCCGTCGCTGGCACACAGTGGCTCATTGACGGGTGGGCAGGACTCTGGCGGGGCAAAGGTCAGGGGCTGGCGGGTACGTGGCTCCACCCGGCACGCCACGTTCAGACTGTTCTCGCTGTCTTTGCAGGGGTCTATAAACAGGGGAGAGAGAGAAAGAGAGCGAGAGAGAGAGAGAGGTTAGTGGTAGGACATGGTTATCCATCACCAGGGATATGCCAGAGATAGGCCTGCTATCAACACAGGTTGCCCTGGAAAGGCAGAGTGGAAAGCCAAGAAGCCCATGGATCTAAGAGGTCGACAGGCTGGCGGCTGGCGCTGGTGGCCATATCAGCTGTAATCATAATGGAACTGGGGAGATGCTTATTGAAATAGGAGCTGCTCGCAGCTCCAGCTTCGTCTCAGCTCTCTACACTGTCTTCTATAGAGCAAGGGGACACAAAGTATTTATGTACCTCTGCGCCGCATTCAAACACTGCCAAGCTGTGAGCAAGTCATTCGAAACATCACAGAGGAGGATGAGACCAAACGGGCAGAGAGAGAGAGAGAGAGAGAGAGAGAAAGGGAAAGAAAAGACCCTGGCTCGAGAAACAAAGAGCGACAACAGGAACACAAGAGCGACAACGGTAGCTTGGCTTCCACAGCCCGGGCTGGGCAGGCAGGACAACAACAGAGCCAACGGCAGCAACACAGCGCCAAGGTCAGGGATTGTAGGGATTGTGTATATTATCACAATGGAATCGCTAACACAGGAGGATATAAAGCGTGGGACCGGTCCCAACTCTGGGTTTTTATCGTAATGCAAAAACACCTGACGCCAGAAAAGCAATGATGCAACACAAGTCCAGCTATTATCCCATTTGCAAAAACCATTACCTCCCATTAACACACCAGAACGGCTTCCAGAATTCCTGCACTCTGCAGTCGAGCCCCCCACCCGCCCCTGATGAGGTAATTAGACATACAGACAGACAGTGGAGGCGCTGGCTAGCCTAGCCCCAGCTGTATATATAAATCATCACCATTTGTCTGGCGCTGGCAAGCCAGTTGAGACAGCCAAAGCTTGGACAGAATCGCTCAGGAAGATTTAGGGGCCCGCCGGGCCAGCTCTCCTGAGAACCCAGGCCTCCCCCTGGGGGTAAGGCAACATGGAGCCTGGTCTCACCGGCTTGGGTTAGATATATATTAGAGCCGTCCTCTGGGGGCCTGAGAATCCATCTCCCTTCCATTTTGTAGCCTCTCAGGGTCTCCTCACTTTTGGGACGTTAGTTTGTCTGGTTAGCTCTATCTGGCTCTTTCCCTCAGCGCAAATTTCTCAAAGTCAGACGTCCACAGGAGAAAACAAACAAAACAAACAGCGGGTGAGACAAAACAACAGTCTCGAACTGGCCAGCTCTAAAAACAAGTGGCTTTGTTTGTCAACAGTGAATAATCCACAATGCGGGAAGAGTTTGCAATAAGAAAAAAAAGCTATGAATTTGAAAACTAGTAAAATGATGTCAGAGAGACAGAAGACAATGAAACTCCAGATGGATGTAAAGAGAGAGCGAAATAAAAATAAAAATAAAATAAATAAAAAAGAACAAAAGAAAGGAGGGAGAGGGAGGGTAGAGGAGAAGTATATGAGGGGACTCACTGCAGTATCCCTGGTGCTGCAGGCGGAAGTTCTTCTGGGTGTGGCAGGCTTGCTTGTAGAGCTCGCACTCGTTGCGGTAGTCTTGGCCGTCAGTGCCACACACCACCTGCTCGGGCTTGCCGTCACAGCTCAGCGGGCACATGCACTTGGCCGACAAGGCGTCTGATGACTGGATGCAGGTGCTGCCATAGCTGCAGGTCACCTCGCTGCAAGGGTCCTTCAGGGCTGCAGGGAGGGAGAAGACAGAGGTAGGTATTAGGGTTTGTGTGTGTGTGTGTGTGTGTGGGAAAAGTCCCCACAAGGTTAGTAAAACAAGGAAAACTCTCCCTCGTGGGGACATTTCTCATGTCCCATGAGGAAAAAGGCTATTTTAAGCTTAGGGGTTTGCTTTAGGGTTACAATTAGGGTTATGAGTTAGGTTTAGGGTTTGGTTTAGGGTTGCGGGTTGCGGGTTAAGGTTAGGTTTATGGTTAGGTTTGCGGGTTAAGGGAAAATAGGATTTTGAATGGAACTTAATTTTAAGGTCCCCACGAGGATAGAACAAAACATGTGTGTGTGTGTGTGTGTGTGTGTGTGTGTATGTGTGTGTATGTGTGTGTGCTTTAGGGTGGGGGGAGTGTTGTGTGTGGGTTATGCAGGAACACTTGACGAGACTCTCATTTCGTATGCACTGCCACTTTTGGAATAATGTTTATCCGTGTCCAATATCCCCCTTTTGTTGCAAACGCTTTGTCTATGAATTTCATTTCGGGGACGGATGCTACGATATATTATTCCACGAACCTTCAGCGTACCCTTTCTTGTTTTATCCCTCCCCTCCAATTCAAGAAAGTCTTATTCCTCTACTTCAGGCCATGTTTGTCTCAGAAGACTGTGCTCCACTTCTTTCGGTGGATCTTGGTGGTAGACTCTCGTCGCCTTAATGAGAGTCTAGGATCTGGGAGAGAGAAGCGGAGTGCTTTTTTTCTGTGCCATCGGATCAAAGTCTCACACATATCCCTCACTCATCCTCACATCTTGACAGATTTCTTTCTCTTTCTACCTCTCTTGTCAAATTGGTTCAAGACACGGCGGAGTGGTGTTGCTAACGAATGTGTCTGTTTCAGTTCGATTTCGATGTGATACTGCAAATGGAGCTGGCCAACTGGTGACAATTATTACCAATTATTTTGCCTAAAAACCTTTAAGCCTACCTATATACCGGTATATATATATATATATATATATATATATATATATATATATATATAGTGACGGATAAAAGTATTTGATCCCCTGCTGATTTTGTACATTTGCCCACTGACCAATAAATTATCAGTCTATAATTTTAATGGTAGGTTTATTTGAACAGTGAGAGACAGAATAACAACAAAAAAAATCAAGAAAAACGCATGTCAAAAATGTTATAAATTGATTTGCATTTTAATGAGGGAAATAAGTATTTGACCCCCTCTCAATCAGAAAGATTTCTGGCTCCCAGGTATCTTTTATACAGGTAACGAGCTGAGATTAGGAGCACACTCTTAAAGGGAGTGCTCCTAATCTCAGTTTGTTACCTGTATAAAAGACACCTGTCCACAGAAGCAATCAATCAATCAGATTCCAAACTCTCCACCATGGCCAAGACAAAAGAGCTCTCCAAGGATGTCAGGGACAAGATTGTAGACCTACACAAGGCTGGAATGGGCTACAAGACCATCGCCAAGCAGCTTGGTGAGAAGGTGACAACAGTTGGTGCGATTATTCGCAAATGGAAGAAATACAAAAGAACTGTCAATCTCCCTCGGCCTGAGGCTCCATGCAAGATCTCACATCGTGGAGTTGGAATGATCATGAGAGTGGTGAGGAATCAGCCCAGAACTACACGGGAGGATCTTGTCAATGATCTCAAGGCAGCTGGGACCATAGTCACCAAGAAAACAATTGGTAACTCATTATGCCGTGAAGGACTGAAATCCTGCAGCGCCCACAAGTTCCCCATGCTCAAGAAAGCACATATACATGCCCATCTGAAGTTTGCCAATGAACATCTGAATGATTCAGAGGAGAACTGGGTGAAAGAGTTATGGTCAGATGAGACCAAAATCGAGCTCTTTGGCATCAACTCAACTCTACGTTTTGGAGGAGGAGGAATGCTGCCTATGACCTCAAGAACACCATCCCCACCGTCAAACATGGAGGTGGAAACATTATGCTTTGGGGGTGTTTTTCTGCTAAGGGGACAGGACAACTTCACCGCATCAAAGGGACGATGGACGGGGCCATGTACCGTCAAATCTTGGGTGAGAACTTCCTTCCTTCAGCCAGGGCATTGAAAATGGGTCGTGGATGGGTATTCCAGCATGACAATGACCCAAAACACACGGCCAAGGCAACAAAGGAGTGGCTCAAGAAGAAGCACATTAAGGTCCTGGAGTGGCCTAGCCAGTCTCCAGACCTTAATCCTATAGAAAATTTGTGGAGGGAGTTGAAGGTTCGAGTTGCCAAACGTCAGCCTCGAAACCTTAATGACTTGGAGAAGATCTGCAAAGAGGAGTGGGACAAAATCCCTCCTAAGATGTGTGCAAACCTGGTGGCCAACTACAAGAAACGTCTGACCTCTGTGATTGCCAACAAGGGTTTTGCCACCAAGTAGTAAGTCATGTTCTGCAGAGGGGTCAAATACTTATTTCCCTCATTAAAATGCAAATCAATTTATAACATTTTTGACTTGCATTTTTCTGGATTTTTGTTGTTGTTATTCTGTCTCTCACTGTTCAAATAAACCTACCATTAAAATTATAGACTGATCATTTCTTTGTCAGTGGGCAAACGTACAAAACCAGCAGGGGATCAAATACTTTTTTCCCTAACTGTATATATATATTTTTAATTACCCATTTTATAAGAGATTCTCCAAAATTGAAATATTCCAGGCATTTATATATAAACTCCAGTCGAACTTTATCAAAAGCCTTTTCAAAGTCAGCTATGAATACCAGGCCTGGTTTCCCAGATTGCATAGTGTTCTATTGTTTCCAGTACTTATATTATCTCCAATATATTGTCCATGTAAAAAACATGTCTGATTAGGATGAATATTATCCGACAATACCTTTTTAATTCTATGTGCTATGCATTTTTGCTAGAAGTTTTGCATCACAACAGACGCATCCAATTTTTTAAATGGACTGAATATTTATATTTCCCACCTGGATCCTGTTTCAGTAATAATGAAATCAGATCTTCTTGTTGAGTGTCTCATAATCTACCATTTATATAGGAGTAGTTAAAACATGCTAATAGCGGTCCTCTGAGTATATCCAAAAAGGTTTGGTATACCTCCACTGGTATGCCATCCAGCCCTGGAGACTTCCTGGACTTAAATGCTTTAATTGCATCAAGAAGTTCTTCCTCTGTAATTTGGTCTTCACATGAGTCTTTCTGTACAGCTGTTCATTTTACATTATTAATAGGAAAAATCCATACAATTAGCTTCAGTTAGTGGAGATGGAGGAGACTGAAACGAATATATATGCTTAAAGTACTTTACTTCCTCTTTCAAAATATATTTTGGTGAATCATGGGTGACTGTCATTTGTAACAAGTTTCAGTCAATTATTTTTGGTAGCATTTCTATGTTAAAGATAAAAAAATAATTTGGTGTATTCTTCCCCATATTCCATCCAATTTGCTTTATTTTTATAATATATTACACTTGATCTTTCTTGAATAAGTTCCTCCATTTCTTTTTGTTTTTCCTCTAACTTATTCTGAGCCTCTATGGTACAGTTTTAATTGTAATCTATCTGTACTGTTAGTCCTTCCATTTCCTTTGTTAATATGGACTCTTTTGACCTCTATTGATTTTGTTTTAGAGATGTGTACTGAATTGCATGGCCTCTAAAGGCACATTTAAAATTGTCCAATACAATAAGGGGATCTGCTGTACCTACAGTGGGGAGAACAAGTATTTGATACACTGCCGATTTTGCAGGTTTTCCTACTTACAAAGCATGTAGAGGTCTGTCATTTCTATCATAGGTACACTTCAACTGTGAGAGACGGAATCTAAAACAAAAATCCAGGAAATCACATTGTATGATTTTTAAGTAATTAATTTGCATTTTATTGCAAGACATAAGTATTTGATACATCAGAAAAGCAGAACTTAATATTTGGTACAGAAACCTTTGCTGGCAATTACAGAGATCATACGTTTCCTGTAGGTCTTGACCAGGTTTGCACACACTGCAGCAGGGATTTTGGCCCACTCCTCCATACATACCTTCTCCAGATCCTTCAGGTTTCGGGGCTGTCGCTGGGCAATACGGACTTTCAGCTCCCTCCAAAGATTTTCTATTGGGTTCAGGTCTGGAGACTGGCTAGGCCACTCCAGGACTTTGAGATGCTTCTTACGGAGCCACTCCTTAGTTGCCCTGGCTGTGTGTTTCGAGTCGTTGTCATGCTGGAAGACCCAGCCACGACCCATCTTCAATGCTCTTACTGAGGGAAGGAGGTTGTTGGCCAAGATCTCGCGATACATGGCCCCATCCATCGTCCCCTCAATACGGTGCAGTCGTCCTGTCCCCTTTGCAGAAAAGCATCCCCAAAGAATGATGTTTCCACATCCATGCTTCACGGTTGGGATGGTGTTCTTGGGGTTGTACTCATCCTTCTTCTTCCTCCAAACATGGCGAGTGGAGTTTAGACCAAAAAGCTCTATTTTTGTCTCATCAGACCACATGACCTTCTCCCATTCCTCCTCTGGATCATCCAGATGGTCATTGGCAAACTTCAGACGGGCCTGGACATGCGCTGGCTTGAGCAGGGGGACCTTGCGTGCGCTACAGGATTTTAATCCATGACGGCGTAGTGTGTTACTAATGGTTTTCTTTAAGACTGTGGTCCCAGCTCTCTTCAGGTCATTGACCAGGTCCTGCCGTGTAGTTCTGGGCTGATCCCTCACCTTCCTCATGATCATTGATGCCCCACGAGGTGAGATCTTGCATGGAGTGCCAGACCGAGGGTGATTGACCGTCATCTTGAACTTCTTCCATTTTCTAATAATTGCGCCAACAGTTGTTGCCTTCTCACCAAGCTGCTTGCCTATTGTCCTGTAGCCCATCCCAGCCTTGTGCAGGTCTACAATTTTATCCCTGATGTCCTTACACAGCTCTCTGGTCTAGGCCATTGTGGAGAGGTTGGAGTCTGTTTGATTGAGTG